TTCTCTGATATGCTTTTAACCAGCTGCAGACGTCTACTTTGTTAAAGTTACTTTTTAAATGAATCACATCAGATATTGTGACCAAGTTTGAGCAAAGGAAATGTTTTAAACAACTCAAACGTTTGAGGAGGGTGTGAAAAATTAAAAGTTGCGTAACATAAATGACAACAACTCAGGCCTGTGGGGTTTAGAAAAATGGATTTGCCCCTCACAGATTTCTTCCATTACTTTTATTGTTGCAACACTTGAACTCTTTAATTCAATAAACAAACCTCTGTTGTGTGCTATTCAAACCAACCTAGGTAAACCATGAATTAACTGATTAACCACATGGTTTGGAAGGCTAAATTCAATACCCTAGCTACACTCAGGCCTGATTACTCCCAGACCTGTATAATTAAAAGTAGCACTTCAATAGAACCCGTCTGACATCATAGCGAGTGAGTACATATCACATCTCGTTCTAAACAAATTAAAAAAGAAGGTGACAAAAATGGCATCGATGGAAGATTTTTGAGTCCAAAACCACTTCTGATATTGCATCTGCATTTCAGAAAGTAGATCAAATCTACAACTAACATGGTGGTGGTGGTGTGATGGTACGGGGTTCCTTTGCTGTTTGGTCCACTTGCTGAAACACTTGATCAGGGTGTTAACATGATTAGGGGTCAACCACATTTTTATGTAGAGCAAGTTTAGTTCGAATTTATTTTTAAATCACTATTTGAAAACTGCATTCTATATCTACTCAGTTTTACTTTGTCAAAGTGTGACAACACCATTTCTGTCACAGAGCTGCACTCATCTGACTTTATACAGAAACATCTCTGTGGACCTGTACGTCTATTAAAGAGCCAAATTAACAGAGCAGAGGAAAAAAACGACACATATAGGAAGATTAAAGTTAGATCTCACATCCCAACGGGTCAGATGAAGAGTCTGAATCAGGTTTTCTAGATGTGCTCTGAAATGTTTCTTTTCCCAGGAGGAAGAACTTCTCTTTAATATTTCATCTGATGTTCTATAAAAAAAATGTCTCTTTGAACTCAAGCATATGTAAGGTGATCCTGTGGGAAGATTTGAAAGATGAAGAAAGTGTTGACAATGTGCAAAAGACGGTTCTGCTTCACATTTAATATCTGTATTAATTCAAATGTTTATATTCAAACTACAGGCTTGTTTAGGGGTAAAGAACCCCAAACGGGACAGCAGCGACATCTAGTGGACTCTGGCAGGCCTTTTGAGCAAACATGAAATTATTTGAATGTGTTTTTTTCTTTCAAAGCAACATTTTTTTTCAGCTTACACACTAATGAAAAACTTGTCAGGCATTTTTGTGAGGTCAGGTTTTCCTCTGACACCCTTGGCCCAGAGAAGCGCGTGACTCCGAATGTTGTGGTTGATGGCCAATCTGCTCCACAGCTTGGGGACAGAGCTATCTGTAATTTATTTAAAGACTTAGTTCACATTTTTAAAGTTAAATCTAACACTGGGAACAAATGGCTTTTAAACGTTTTAATAATAATAATAATAATAATAATAATACATTTTATTTAAAAGCACCTTTCAGGACACCCAAGGTCACTTGACAGGAAAAATACATTCAGTAAAATACATTAAAACAACAATAAAACACAATGAAGAAAATAACATAGAAAAAAATAAACAATTCTTTAAACTGAGCTTTGATGATAAGTAATGTTGTTTTTGCCAGGCTAGCCACTCTATCCACTGAATGTCTAGATTATTTTTCTTCTGCAGATGATGACCACAAGAGGGCAGTGTTGACAGAAATGCATAAATGTTTATGCCACTACTAAATTTTTATTTACCACGTTTCATTTAGACTGCAGAAGATTCCAACTTGTTTACAAAAACTGGGTTTACTAATTTGTTCAGTGAATTCAGATATTATGTAGGATTAATAAACTGCAAAGCCGGAACTTGCTGACGTTTGTTTAATAGTTTGGAAATCGTATTAAACTTCACATGCACGGTTAATCATTAAACCAATTTCAGAAAAGTCCAAATGAAAACTATTTATTTTCACAAAAATCACAATTTAAATATTTTTTTGTTTTGTTTTGTTTTATTGCACAATCCAGCAGAATCATTTTACACTTATAAACTGAAATACCAATTTAAAATATAAATAATTAATATGATGAAAATATTTTGTAATTTTGTTTTTAATGCTAAGAAAAAAAATTAAAGTTACATTGAAACTTTGTACCTGCAGTGCATAAGTATTCCGTTAGAGAGCAGCATACTTGTACCTGAAACTGTCACAAGTTAAAATTGATATTTTTGCTTATTTCTATTAAAGCCGGTAAAGAAACTGTAACGATAGATCAATATTCAAACTAAAAAACAATTACTGTATATGAATTAACTTATCTTTTTATCCATAACATAAACAAGCAGATATTACCGGAGGGATGTTGTGATAAGTTTGGCCATTTGACCTGTTATCTGATTGAACTAGATTAATTTTTTAAAAATTTTTTATTGAATTAATCATAATTACTGATTTTAGGACATGATTGTAAGAGAAAATCTTAGTTGTTTTAAGAAATAAAAAATGCACAGATTCTCAAAGTTTGGGAGATAATAGAATCCCTTTTGTTGAATAAAGCTATGCTGATAGACAGAAAATAGCAGCAAAAAGCACAAATGTATCATTGTGATACTAAAATAAATGTCTAGTTTTTGTTTGTTTTTATATTTTTCATTGATATTTGAAAAGACACATGTGCGAAGATGCCGAAATAACATAAGATCTACGGTGATGATACTCATGTGATCACTGATGCATTCTTTGTTTCCTTCCGTACTCGGATAATTTGTCCCAGTCAGGTGGCTCATGGTTAGAAAACAAGCACTGTTGCACAAACACATGCACTCCTACACTCAATTTACTTGCAGTTAACCTAACCTGACTGTGGGAGGACACCAGATCCCTCACAGGAAATCCCCAAAGGTGCAGTGAAGGGTCACACCGCAGCTCAGCCGAGTTTCAGTTGAGGGAACTTCCTGGTCATCGATTTGTGTGTTTTTAAATCAAACTTTAACTAATAGTTGAACTGTTTGTACAAGACCTAAAATAGACACACACGAGGTGAGTCAGCGGTTTCTGGGATGAAAGGATTTAAGAACACTGAGAAAACTTGTAAGTTTTTATGATGTCATCATTCAGCAGAAACTCCAGATGAGTCATCAGTCTGCACCATGTGATCTTTTGTCAGAAAGCGGAAGAGTCTGGAGTGTAGCTAAGACTGTAAATGGCTGCGAGCAGGGGGATTGTCAACGCTATTCACCAAATTGTATATAAGTGGGCGTTAACCCGGATGTGGGTGTGGCGCTGGTGTTCCACCTGGCTTGGCGTGTTGCAGCAGACCAAACTTCCACGTAAGTTAAGGCATGTTGCTCATAATCGTTTATGTCCTAACAACAACCCCACTTCATGACAGAGAGCTACAAAAACACTTATTAAATGACTAAAACAAACTGCAATTAAAATATTTATTAACTTTGAAATATTAGAGTCTGATGCATACATTTCCCTTTGCATAATCCACACTTGCCCTTTGAATTGTCACAGTAGTTAAATGTGTCCAAACCTGGTTGTCTGTCCTGTTTTCACTTATTTCTTCATATTTGTTTCTACTGGTTGTGCAGCACCAGGCTAAAGGTCAAAGGTGACAGATCATCTGCTGCTGTGGCCCCCAGACTCTGGACCTCTCTCCCCCTGAGCCTGAGATCAGTGGACTCAGTGGTCTCCTTTAAAAAGCAGCTGAGAACTCACTTGTTCAAGCTGGCTAAAGTTGCAAAGCATGCAAAAGGCTTTTTTCTGCTTCCATGTTTTATTTGAACCATTTCAACTCCCTCAGTGTTTTTGGTATTTCATGAAATTTGCTATCAAAACGTTCAGCTCGCTCGGCTCATCCGGATCCACTGATTTCCCTCATTTCTACTCATCCTCTCTTCTTTTGCTTCCATTTTTAATCACAATTTTTATTTAGTTCCCCTTTTAAACATCTTCTCAATCGTTTTTAAAAACCTTTGTTTTGTTTTAGAGGCGCCGTATAAAAGATTGTTTTCTTTCTTTCTTCACCTGTGTGAGTGGGTGGAGTTTAAAGGTTCTAGGTAAACAAACAAGCACACACATAAAACGGGTTTATGAGTTTAAACTGGCTCTTTAGCCTTGCAGCAAAACGGTTGCAGGTTCAAATCCAGGATGCAGTATTTCTACATAAGTTAGCGTGTTCTCATGCGTGTACACAAGTTTCCTCCCACAGACCAAAAACATGCATTTCAGGTTATATGGAGACTCTAAAACTAGGTGTGAGGGAGATGTTGACAAATGTGTGAGGTTCATTTTTATGTATTTAAGCCTAGCTTTCCAACCCTACAACTGACCTGACATATCAAAAACTTTAAATGTGAAGAATTTTGACATAACACTCAACTCTGTCTCACTACATAAAACAAATAAACTTTGTTTTTAAATCTGCAAATACATTTGGAAAATGTTTCTCCTGGTGTGAGGTTCATGACCCCAAAAACTGTTGTAATATCATAAATTTTAGGCTGACTTATTGCCGTTTTACACAATTAAATAGAAATAATTTCCAAACAGAATATGAGATCATCAAAACAAAGTGGAAAACAATTAACAAAGAAAAATGGGGCATAAATTGTTACGTGTTGCAAATCTTAAATCAAACAGTGACAAAGTAAAATAGTTTGTTCTCGAATAAGCTAGGAGACATGCTAAAATGACAATAAAATGCTGACAAATACTGTATTAATACCAGAAAGCTGCAAGTCTAAAATGTTCAGCCAACAGTATTTTAATATATAAGCAGACTTTAACAGTTCATGCGACGATATTTGCAAATAGTTTATTTTTAACTCTTTAAACCAGAGCATGTTGTGTAAATTATGACTTTAATTGAGTAAAAGTCACTATTTTTGCAGTTTGTAAAGGGAATTTTTGATAAACGAATTTTAATTGTGTTGTAATTACATTGGTAGCAGCGGCATTTGATTGGTGCGGTCTGGGTGCATCATTGGCGCACATCTGTCGCTCCGCCTTCTATTAGCCAGCCTGGCCGACGTGCTGTAGCTGCGCAGCTCCGAAGGCAGAAGAGTCCGAGCGGAGGGAACGGAGGGCGGCAGGAGACGAGCTCAGGTCAGCGGTGTGGCAGAAAACATTCTCAGCTCATGTCCACGCGCTGCAACCTCTGGATTTAAATCACGGCAGCCTCCGGCCAGCTTTACCTAAACAGAAAGGGACAATAGCCGGAGTCCTGCAACGCCTTCAGAAGTTTCTCCGCCGAGTTTGAGGGGTGTTTATTTATTATTCTGAGTGGACCGACCAGCCGTGAGCCCGTCCTGGTCCGTCCAGTCAGCCGTGACCGAGACCTCTGTCCTGGTTTGTCTTCCAGCTGTTGGGAATCATGGCGCTCAGAGCCAGGGCGCTTTACGACTTCAGCTCTGAAAACCCGGGGGAGCTGTCGGTGAAGGAGAACGAAGTCCTAACCTTGTACAGCGAGCAGGACATCGACGGCTGGCTCGAGGGGACGAACAGCCGAGGGCAGAGAGGACTGTTCCCCGCTTCGTATGTGGAAATCCTGAGAAACGACGCTGCTTCCTCTTCGGTTAACAGCTGCAGCACATCTGGAGAGCCCCGGTACTCTAACATCCCGGCTGGAGGCTTTGAGAGCAAAACTGAAAACTTTTCTAAACCATCTGCTCCGAGTTTTGGTACTTTTACCGTTCCCCAGCACCAGCAGCCCAGTCAGGGCAGTGATGATGACTGGGATGATGACTGGGATGACAGCTCCACTGTGGCGGATGAGCCAGGGACTGTTGCAGGAAGGTACACTGACCATGAAGGCAATGGTCCCTCCACCTACAGAGTGTCGACATCCTCATCGAGAGCTAATGCACAGCAACAGACAAGGAGCTCTGCTACAGTCGGCAGGAACCTAAACAGGTTCTCCACCTTCGTAAAGTCCGGAGGAGAGGCGTTTGTGCTCGGGGAGGCGTCGGGGTTTGTGAAGGACGGGGATAAGATCTGTGTGGTGATGGGTGAGTATGGTCCAGAGTGGCAGGAGAACCCTTACCCGTTCACCTGTACGATCGATGACCCCACCAAACAGACCAAGTTCAAGGGCATGAAAAGCTACATTTCCTATAAGCTGACGCCCACACACACACACATCCAAGTGAACAGGAGGTATAAACACTTTGACTGGCTGTACGCTCGCCTAGCGGAGAAGTTTCCCGTCATCTCAGTGCCACACTTGCCAGAGAAGCAGGCCACAGGGCGCTTTGAGGAAGACTTCATCTCCAAGAGGAGGAAAGGCCTCATATGGTGGATGAACCACATGACCAGCCACCCTGTGCTGGCTAGGTGTGATGTTTTCCAGCACTTCCTCATGTCCAACAGCACAGACGAGAAGGCCTGGAAGAAGGGAAAAAGGAAGGCGGAGAAGGACGAGATGGTCGGAGCCAACTTTTTCCTCACCATCAGCACTCCACCAGCTCCGCTCGACTTCCAGGACGTCGAGAGCAAAATAGACGGATTCAAGACGTTCACAAAAAGAATGGATGACAGCAGCTTACAGCTCAATGCCACTGTGAATGAGTTTGCTCGCAAACAGATCAGTGGCTTTAAGAAGGAGTATCAAAAAGTGGGAATGTCCTTTAAGGCCCTGAGCCAAGCCTTTGAGATGGACCAGCAGGTGTACTCCTCGGGACTGAACCTGGCCATCTCCTTCACCGGAGATGCATACGAGTCAATTGGAGAGTATTTCTCTGAGCAGCCCAGCAAGGATCTTGACCCAGTTATGGATCTTCTAGCTCTTTATCAAGGGCATCTGGCAAACTTCCCAGACATCATCCATGTCCAAAAAGGTAAAGCAACGCTGAGAAGTGATGTGTTTTATAACAGGTGGTCAATCAGATGACTTGGCTTTCTTTTGTTGCTTTTTTTAAATAATAAAACCATCATTCATGAATATTTTAAGATAATTCTGAACATGTCTGGGCAGAGTGGCAATGCTCGACCTCATTGAAGAACGTAAATATCCACAAACAGACTAAAACTTTTTATTGTGTCATTATTTCCCTCTACGAAAACTGAGAATTATGGAGGTGTAGATGAGAAAAACAACATTTCCTTCAGAAAAATTAATAAAAGTACAGAAGCAAAGTAAGCGTAAGCATATTTTAAGAAGCTTAAAGTAGAGGGGCAGTTGGGGGGTGGGGGGGGGTTTGCAAGACAACAGTGGGGGCAGTTGCCCCCCTATATAACTGCCCCTGATTCTGCAATAAAGTGACAATGTGTAGTTTTTACCATTAATCTCTGGGAAAATCTATCAAAATGTTGTTGAAAACAAATGAAATGATAACCAGTTGTTGAAAACATTGGTGGCTTCGTAGCGTAAAACTATAAAAATCAGGTCTAAAATACACGGGAGTGGGTCAAGTCTCTGGGCTTATTACATGCAGTGTTCCCTTCTACGGGAGCTCGTGAGGACAAAACATATTTACAGATTTGTAACAGGCGGTTACGAAACTTTCGCCATTCATAAATGTTTTACACTTTTACCTCATCACTCATGTGCTTGCCACTTTGCCAGAGGTTGAACGATCTGACGAAGTACTCATTCGAAAATAGCTCTCCCAGGGATTTTTGACCCTAATGGCCATCCGTTGGTAAGGTCTTATTCAAACTAGGGCTGAACGATTTTGGAAAATAATCTAATTGCGATTTTTTGTCTTCAATATTGCAATTGCGATTTAGTTCACGATTATTTTCTCAAGGGACTTTTCTCGTTTTTCAACTAGCGGAAGCATAAAAATAAAAATGTGTAACTTGTACTGAATATAAACAAGTTTATGTATCTACATATTTATCTACATATCATATCAACAAGTTTATTTGTCTACATAAATACTCACTAGTAAAAACAAAATTTTGTATTTCAAGGTGCAATGCTTTGCAGCCAGGAGCACATCCATTGAAGGACCATAGGTATTAGCATCAATTGTGAAAATTGATTTGCAGGAAGTGTGTCCCATTTATTGAAGTATTTTGATTTTAGAGTTTTTGACGTTTTGTCCATGCAGAGCTTCCGTAGTTCAATTTCGTTCATAGCTGCTAGCCAGTGAAGTCTCTTACAGTTTTCTAGCTTTACTAAAATATCTGTCTGTACTTATTTGATTTATAACAGTTTTTCCTTTTTATTAGACTCCAAATGTAATAATTTGGCACGTTCCTAATTCGTAATTAGTAAGAATGTAATCGGCGATATTAGCATTAGTATCCCTATGGGTTTTTCAATGTATATTAGCATTGTGCTAACCACTCACTGCCAGTCAAATTGCAACCTTTGCGATTAGAAAATCTCCTTTTGTCACATCGCAATTTAATTGCATATGCAATTAATCGTTCAGCCCTAATTCAAACACAAAAATCCTGCTTGCTTGCAATGATTTACACATGTACTGCCCCCCCCCCCCTTCCCCCCCATCCCCAGGGAAAATACACACCATCACTTTAAATAGCTCATTGACTTCCCATGTATAAAAAATAGCAGAACGTCTAAGTTTAAATCCCAGATGTCTAAAAAGCACAGTGACCTACTCAGGTTTTTCGTACGCAAATACAAACATCTAGAGTTTCCATCGTTTAATATGCGTGTGTCGTTAAAGAGGCGGTGGTGGTGTTAAAACAGCAGTGAAATAACTAAGGTTGTGTCCAAAACAAACAGTTGTGTTTGTACTAGGTTGGCATGCTGCTGCCATTATGTTACCAACCTGCTGAATAAAGAGGGAAGCAGTCGCTTGTCTCTGTTTACTTTTCCATGAGAACACGTCTACAAAATACAACGGATCATCGGTTTTTGTTTTTGGTCTTTTAGATTTTTCATTTATCCTAACAAAACATTACTAACATTACTAAGAGTACGGTTTTGTGAAACACGCTAATGGGAAATTTCCACTAAAATTTTCTAAGGTTTCTTCATTTATTAAAAGAAGAAATGGCAACATTTTGGTCATCAAAGTGTATGCACATTGAATAACGGCAACTTTTTGGTAATATTGTCAAACTTTTACCATAAAAGCTAATGTTCATCTCAACTTTATGGAAGATTGAACACTGAAATTTGAATAAACAAAAACACAAAGAAATGCTACATTTCATTAATCCATTCAATTATTAACACAAAGATAAATACGTCCACCTGCCTTCTTATCCATTAACCAGGTTTCTGAACTTCAAGGAAGAATTGAGAAAAACATTTTTTTTCATTAGACTTTATTTTCCTGGACATTTCTATTTATATTCGCTCCAAAGCCTTCCTAGTTCTTAGTTGATCCTCATAATGTCTGACTATGTTATTACTGTAAAAACAAAAGTTAATAGGTGGGCATGTGCATATTCAATTGTAGAGTAACCAAGAGTATGCCTGGTGGCACACCATTATGATTTAATGCCATGTATGGTCTTTCCAGGGTTACGGCATATTCATAATAAACTAATGAATGGCATTCACATCCTTTACTACACAATTTCCACCAGAAATCAAGTCTAAATGTTTTTCATGCCTAAGATGTGAGAATATAGTTTGGATTTTATCTGTTCTATCATCCATGTAAACAACAATATGCAACTTGCATCCAACCACTCCTTTTTATGTCCAGTTAAACCCGAAGGACGGCTTTTTGAACATGAATATTGACTAATATGTGCTACCGTTCTAGTGTGAGAACTGAAGGTGACACGTGCCATACAACACGTCACATATCTGCTACTCTTCAGGTCAAAAGTAGAAATGATCAGAAGCAGTTTCTGTTTCATACGTTTTCTGTGGACCACCGAGCCTGAGAATGTCTTGTTTGGTCCCTACAAACACTGGCTCTATTCAAGCCACAATAGGTGGTGCGGGGGAAACAGAACAGGGCTGTGTTTAGGCTGCAGTGGGACACAAACTTCCCCGTCAGCTCCAATCAAGTTTGCCACGTAGGCCAAACATGCAACCCAAATAAGGTGACAACCATTCACGCAGTCTGGTGATAAGCACAGTTTCATTCCACTAATGTGACATTCGGAAGACCTTACTTCAGGCAACGTGTTGGGGGCAGGGAGTCAAAACACACAGGAAAAGACGGGGCATACAGGAGAGGAAAGGTGAGCCAGCTGGAGCACATCTTGTTTGTTATCCCTCTCCTTTTCCTTTTTTAAACATTTTAACATTCCTTCTCTTTAAATCATCAGACAAGTGAGGAAACATTCCTAATTCCCTTCTATTTATAGGAAAAGCCAAATTCACTCCTTAAGAGCATTGGTGGAGACACATGGGGACACATATACACCATGGGGCTGCATGGTGGCGCAGTGGTTAGCACCGTTGCCTCGCAGCACGAAGGTTGCAGGTTCGAAACTCGGCTGCGGCCTTTCTGCGTGGAGTTGCGTGTTCTCCCCATGCATGCGTGGGTTTCCTCCGGGTACTCCGGTTTCCCCCACAGATCACAACATGCCCTATAGGTTATAGATTGTAAGTTGCTTTGTGTAAAAGCATCTGCTAAATAAATAAACATAAACATAAACATGTCCTGTAACCTTTTACAGAAAACTTCAGTTTCAAACAACCAGAACCGGGTAAGTTGTGTGCAAGCTGCACTGCCTGTCCACCACTGAACAGTTAATGAAGGCAGACTGGTACCTTCTGGTCTCTTAGCGCCACAGTTTGTCATAAGTTGCAGCTTGTAGCATGGTCCCATCTGTGGCCCATTTAAATGTAAAGGAAGTGTCAGCTAAAGTGTCTCACACCAGTGAGGTTTGTTGCTATATGTGCACCCAACCAGAGGCTAGGCCACATCCTTTGTTGTCATAAACCAAGGAGCGCATTTCCCGGCTGAGGTGGCTGCACGCTGCCCACCGGGACAGAAAGGATGCTTCTTTTTGCAACAAAGATGTCCGGGTGCATCTATCAGAACAATAAAGCATCGATCAAAGTAAAGCTCACACATGCATGCTCTTTGGTTTTGTCAGATCCGCTGTTTTGTGTCTTTGATTTTCCTAATCGGCAAACATCAGGGCAGGTTTTATGTGTCCTGGCGGCTGATGAAGCTCTCCAGAGGAAGAACTTTGACCATTAGTGAACTGATTCATCACCTGCATGGGGACCCATTAGCTATTAGTGAGCTGCTTAAAAATCAATTATAGACCCTTCTGTTGAGTTAGAAGAAGAAAACAAAAGATCTTTATTTCAACTTTATAGTTTAAATAGTTTGATATTTTTAATAGCTTTACAGTAAAATGCATGACAGCAAACTTATCTGTCTAAAGGTGGACCAGTTCTTTTACTAGAGCACATATAAAAGCCTCAACGTTCACTTTCTCTCTGACCTTAGTGTCTTTCGATTGTCACGCCCACCTATTCAGTACAGCTCCAGTAGCTCTTATAAGGTACGTCACATTTAATGATTAGAGAATGACCAGGAAGTCAAAGAAAACGACACGGATGTTGGGTTTTTCCTGCTGAGTCAGCCGAACAAACAGCACAGGTCTGTTTGATGTGTTGTTGACATATATTTACATACACTACTATTGAGAAAACAGGGACTGGAGGGATGCAGTGGGAATCACCACCGGTCACTGGATCACTCGAGCTGTTGCGTAACCAGGGATTACGTAAGAGCTGAAACGCCTCCCTCCCTTTACAAGAGAGGACTCCCACGCTCCCACACACCCAAACAACAGTTTGTACTCAGGACTTTTCTCACTTATGTATGGCTGAATGCTGCAATATAAAACATATTTGTCACCGTCTGCGAGACTGTTACGGGGTGGGAATCGGTTGCTTTGTGCCTTTAAGGTTAAAAAGGGATGTGATAAAAATAGC